GACTTCTGCCAATTCACGACATAGAGTGACCAATTACAAATGTGTACTGTTGAAGAGTCCTAAACGGTGGCAAAATAGCTGTCCAGTACTCACATGTTTTCCAATGATTCTCTAACCGATGTCAGTTCATGATGAAATCCTCCAACCAATATACATATACATAATTATTTCTTTCTTTACGTTCCCAGTGGAACATAGGGCTTCAGACTAGAGTTTTGAGGTCTCCGTAGTAGTGGCATTTTCTTTTTTTATGGGATGCTGTTGCTAGCCAAATGCCTAAGCTTCCCTCTTTACCAGTCTTAATACTGGTTCAACGAAGTAAAGGAGGGCATCAGCCAGGGACCGAACCCCGGACCACAGGCGTAATTGGTGAGCATTCTACCGCTGTGCCACCGACGCACAAATGTTATAACCAAGTCATACTATTTCACATTCGATAATAATAATAATATCTTTATTCTGGATAGTATTTATAAAATGTACAGAATTTTCAGAGGAGTTCATTGAATGGTATTTCCCCTTTGTACAATATCTGCAAGTAAAATATTAAAATTAACAGTATATCCTATGACACAATACTCTGAGCTCAAGCACAAACCATCCCATTATGATATATCTGATTTTCTCTTGCAAGAAATCAACGATATCCAATCGAAAGCCAGTTGTAAGGTGTTCAGAAGTACATTTTGAGACCAGAATACATAACTGAAGAACAGTCCTCTTATATATTGGAACACGCTGCCACCCAACATCCAGCTATTCCTCAAGTTTATTAGGAACTCGCGAATTAGAAGCTTGTAAACATTTTAAATACACATAAGAGTAGATAATACTACTAGAGGTCATATCATAATCGAATAAAACAAACTAAATAAGAGAAAATATATGCAATAGAGAGATAGAAGTTTTCGGTAGCCTAAGTTTTAAGAAGGCCACCACATAGTGTTAATAACGGAATAACCTTTTGAGTACAATTTATTGCCGCCTATAATCATATAACACGACTTCTTGATTTATATTGTTTTAGTCTCTTCTATTCTTATTTATTACAATTCTCCATATGTCGGAGATAGACGCTGAGTTATTTCGACTGTTTGACCTAGAATTACTGATTTCATTAAGTAATCTAGACGAAAGCTTTGGCACTACAATTCACTAACTTACATGTAATTGCACGATAAAATGCCAGAGGATAAAATTATTAAAAGGTGACGCAGTTAGGTAGAGAGAGAAAGAAGTTAATTAGGGGATCTTTGTTCATTGATTCTTCACCACACATGTGCAATCAACATAGGTCTACAACAGATTGAAATACGTGGAAAGTTGTAACAAGGAACAAGTAGGAATAAGTGTTATGAAGACGTTTGAATACGTTGATATGATCAGTAGAAGAGTAAATGTCATGCACTCTAAATTTCACTAAGTTATTAATGCTGTATCACTGTACGTGTGTGTGTGTTTTATCAAATGAAAGAGTTTACGGTAGTCTGGTGAAAATGCTTCTGGTGACGCGTACAACGTCTCTGAAACATATGGAAACAATGACTTTTCATTAGTGCTGGAAACTTTGATCTTGTGAATGCATCAAATCCACACACTGGTTTCCCAGTAATGTTTGTCTTCTCTGATCTTCATGAATGCTGCTTGTAGTGGAAACGATGTTGACTTGGTGACGTAAGTAGAAGTGATGAGTTCTTTTAAATTCAATAAGGACTGAGATATATTAAATATATCACATATCATAAAATAAGAAGAGATTTAAATTTCAAGGCATTTTCACAGTGTTTAACGATCACAGTACACTGGTTTATTTTTATATTTTTTCGGTTACCACAAAATGTGTCAGCTAAAGCTAGATTTTAGTGCCAAAGAGCTAAAAACGGTCAGATTAAGGCATTATGTTAATCCATGCACTCTCTAACTGCTGGTTTATGATAAGTGGGATGATATAGACTAGAGTTTTAAAAATAATCACCAGTTTTTATTTATTAAGAGTTGATTTGTTTTTTCAAGTTTGACCAGTGATTAATATCAGTTAGAGAATCACTGAAAACCAACTAGGGAGTACTGGACAGCTGTTCTGTTCCACTTTGGGACTCACGAATTAGTAGAAGTTAGAATTCATTGGTTGGCCACTGAGTCGGATCCCACTAGCCGAATGGTCTACGAGTTTGCCTTGTAATCGAAAGGTTCTGCGTTCGAATTCCAGTGAGTGCGTGCTGCCAATGAATCTCAGACTGGGTTGAAATAGCAGTCCATTATTCTATGGTTTTCCATGGTTGTCTAACTGATATCGATCCGTGGTCAAACTTGAAAAAACGAATCAAATTCCTGCAAATCAACTCTTGAAAAATATTAGTGCCTTTAAGACGTTTAAAGACTGTATCGATTAAATATTTCAAACCTTTATTAACTCGTGTCATAGGGATCCGATTACTTTGGTATTCCAGGTATTTGTAAATAACCTTAGGTGATATATTTGACAGTGATTAGCAGTGTTATCTGCAGTACACATATTTTATCCCATTGGACAATATTCAGCTGAAGAGAACTGCATCCAGATGCATGTTTAGACTGGAACTCGGTACCTGTTCATATGATCTGTGATCAGGATTTGACCGAATAGTTTCAAAATAGTTGGGCACTAAGTGAGAAGTAGACCTCTGTAAAAATTATATTTGAAAAATCTCAGCGGAAGTGTAGTGAGTAATTCCAACGTTTCGTTCGGCAAACTGCTCCGAACTTCTTCAGTATGTGTTCTTTGAAACCCCTAAGCGTTATCTATGAGGCAATCTAGCCCCCATAGACAAATTTAGTTATGGCACTATCTGAAGCAGCAGTTTGTATATATGTATATATATATATATATATATATATATATATATATATATCTGGTTCATACAATATCCGGATAGTATAAATAATTATGACTTTTCTTCATTACCCATCAAAATCAATTATTAATTAACAGTTTCATTTTGAAACATTAATTTAAAACACTTATTTTGAAGTCACTATCTGTCAACTTCCAAATTTCACACATACAAACACATCTCTTAAATTGTTAAAACCGAAATTCCATTCAAAGAAAGGGGGAGAGACAGAGAGATAGAAGGAAGTTTTATCGATAACTCGAACTCTTTGCTTTTTATGTCGTAGAAGTAAGTTATGAAAACCGAGGATAGGTGTAAACGTTCATAGTGGATATTACTTCTAAGAGATGTTATATAAAAAAGTATTAGAAACTGAAATGTACTAGTGTGAAACTCTTCAACTGTGAAAGCATACAAGCTTAAGGGACAACGGGTTGTACACTACTTGTAGGTTAATCAGTCATCTGCCTGAATAGCTGACTAATAACGTTTCTGACTGTAACACTGAATGATATGGCTTTCAATCTGACAGGAGGCTTAGGTTCTTTTAAAAATATAGATAAATTTTATGACAAGTGCCAATAAGCAAGAAACATATATGAACAGCTTACTGTCGAATTCCAGTCAACCCATGATATAGTGCAAGCACTGCCAAGTGTCATGAGTGGTTCAGTATTCTTACACCCAGTTCAGTAAGTTTGTTCAATCATAACTTCCTATTGTAAATTTCATTGACATGTAGTGAACTTATATCATTAACTAACAAAATCTAAATATTACTTAAATAGTATCTAGCTGTTTATAATCAATCAGCAGCATGCATCCGTTTTGAAGTTTGCCACTTAGCTAACTACTATTCAGTATGGGGAAGATATAAAAAGGTACTACGAAGCTGTAAAATGTCAGCATTAAAATGACTATGAAATTCTGACCACAATTTAAGGTTTTTCAAAAGTTAAAATCAGCCAGATCCCTGAAAACCACTTATTTTCTCGTTGATTAATTTCATTGAATCGAAGTGTTCTGCTGACATGGCTTATAGTATGGACATTTCCAAAGTTACTTAAGATAAACAGGTAGGATGTGAGAACAAATACCCGCCAGCGATCACATTCGCTAGTGGTCGCTCCATATCATGAATTGGTAGAAGATAGAATTCATGGATTGACCATTGGATTGGGTCTCAGTGGCTTAATGGTCCATGAGCTCGGAAGGTCCTAAGTTTGAACCCCAGCTATGTGGGTACGCACTGACGAAGAGCCCCCAAAACTAGGACGAAAAAACTGTCTAGTACTCCTGGGTTTTCCAATGCTTCTCTAACCGATGTCAGTTCATGATGAAATCCGGAAATCAATCAAATCCCTGCAAGCCAAAACTTGGATAAGATAAACATGATGTTATTTTATAGGTACGGATTTCGTGCCACTTAGTAGTCGTCAGATAGGTGTGTATCTCCAATCACCCAGTGAATAGTAGTCATGCGAAGTTAGACTGCAACACTCAACGTCAAAACGTTATCCACCAAACCACTGGGCTATACGAGTTACCTCTTATGCATTCATGAAGTCATTTGAGGCCCGAAAATGTTTTATCTCTATTAACTTCTAGTTATCACTGACCCAAATTTCCGTCCAGGTCATACTGATTGGCTTCACACTTGTCCCTTTACCCCCCTCCCCATCAAATTCTTTGCAATCATTATTTGTGTAGTAAGTACGACCGACCACCAATCAGATTTAATTTAATTCTTTCAAACATCTTACCAATACACATATACAGTCTCTCTTGTTTCAGGCAAAAATAACCCGATTTTATTGTGTTTTTCTTATTCTACCTGCACAGTCATTTCCTACTGGTCAGTTTAAACAGCACACAGGTGCACTTGCACACTTAATTTGTTGTCTCTCCTTTGATTAACTGAACAGAAACCAGAAAAGTAGGGAATAAGGATAAAATGGGAGGAAGGGAGAAAGACATTCTCTGATGCAGGGGGTAAAGGGGGAGAATAGGTGATAAAATGACGCTTTTTTTTCTGTTTAACTCAGTTGATTCACTGAACAACAGTCATTTAAATTAGCCTAGTTTATTTCAAGTCTCAATTTATTCGAGTTTTTCACATTTAAATAGATGTCACATTTCTATAGTAATAGTAATATTAATAGTACTAATAATGATAGCAATAATGATAACAACCCATTTTACTGCAATGAATCAATAATAATAAATAATATTCATGTAAATGAATATTGTCAAGATGAACCAGTGATTACAAATCCTTTTATGACAACGTATTTTGATAATATGTGGAATTTTTCAAATGTATACTCAGATACTACTTTCACTACTAATCATACTACTGCTACTAATAGTAATAATATTAAGACTAATATTACTACCGTTACTACGGCTACATCACCAATTTACAGCACTCCTTATATGGAATCAAATTCAAATTCTACTATGTCACTTTACCACTTGAACATTGAAAATCAACTACCAGAACACCACCACCACCAACAACAACAACAGCAGCAAACGACACAATCACAAAGATCTGACTTAGGTAATCTCCATGACATGAAGTATGCATCAGACATATCATCGACGAATTCTCTACTAAAGGCTGATTTGTATACAACTGATCCTCATTATTATTATGGTTCGTATTCTTATCCGTTTATATGTTATTCATATGAGAAAGAAAATTGTCGAGTTCAGGATATTTCATCAGCTGGAAATCAGTTTTATAGTCTCCTTGATAACACTACTACTAATACAACTACTGCCAGTGATATACATGAAATCGATAATAATAATAATAATAGCAACTATAATAATAATAACGCAAATGAAGAAGGATTGATAACGTCAAATATTAAAAATTCAGCAGCCTTATTAGCTTATTTGAATTTAGACAAAATAAAAGTGAACGAAAGTCTACCAGATTCATTAAACAGTGAGTTGTGAGATGCTGTTTCTATTTTTCCCAACATATTGGTTTTGATTTCCCGTCTCTAATATTGCTACTATTCCCCTGTATTCTGAGTGGAACATTGGGCTTCAATAGAACATCTCTGTTCCACTCAGTTCTCTGTAGTCTTTTTCAGTTGGCGCCATGATAGCCTAGAAGCTTTCATTTCCCACTCACATGGTCCCCTCCATGTGACTCTTAATATTCACGCCCAATTTGTCGCTCGCTTTGTTTTCAGGTTCTTCTCGAGAGTCTGTCTGATGCATGATTTTACTTAGTCGTCTCACAAGCCTATATCAAGCTCGTTTCCGTTCCATTCTGCATAATTCTTAGTTGGTTTGTTACCACAGTTCATTGTTGCTTATCTTTTCTGGCCAGCCTTCTGATCTTCAGTGTGGAGCAAAGCCGGCAGTTGATAAGAGTCTGTAGTAGCTGGCTGGAAATCGTTTCACTGACACACCAGGTCTCAAAACCATACAAGAGCACTGACTTGATATTAGCGTTGAAAATATGAATCTGTTTTCTTACGTTGAGCGCAGTAAATTATTGCAATTATTTCAGAATAATAAAGATCTGTTTTACTTTCCGATCCTATCTTCGGCATCTTCATTCGTTCTACTTGTGATAGAAACGATGCCACTTCATCTGGGCAAGTGCAAGAGGCTGTTTCCCTTAGATCTCTCTTGTCATAGGTGAGTAGTGCCTGATTTACCGGTTCGTCAGTTCACTAGCTGATCCTAATCCGGTATAAAGATAGGCATGTGGGTATAGAGTTAGCGAGCGAAAAATCAGTCCAAACTCCACAGAAATACGAAAGCAGGATAAAAATATAAGAAATAGACTTGAGTTCCGTCACTATGAAGAGAATTATTAAAAAATCATTGAAATCTACGGAGCTTTGAATACCTCTTTTGTATTAGTCAGCAGTAGCTTAGTAGTATTCACCCATGACGTCAAAAAGGGTTAGTTCGTGCAGTGGGACTCATCGGTTGCTTTTTTCCAGCAACTCATATTAGGTAGTCAAATGGTTTGTCCTGTGTTCTGAAGTTCCTAAATTTGATTCTTGATGGGGTTGTAGGTGCTTACTGTTGAAAATTCCTAAAGTAGGATGAAACAACTGTCCGTTACTACTAGATTTTAAATCATTTTTAAAATAATGTCAGTTCCTAACGAAACTAACCATTAAATCAGTCACATACGTATAACTTGACACCTGAAGATTAATTTTCGTTAGATTTTGCTACATACCGTTGTGGACTGTGTAATTTTTGATAATCGTTTCCTGGGCAAAACTATTCAGCTGTGCTAGAAAACTACAAAATAAATGAATGGTAACATGTTGGCCTCGTGACTTGAAGATCCTGAGATCAATCTTCATTCGGTTCTTAAGTATGTACTAATAAGTCCCAAATACAGTATTCTTCCGTCTTCAGAAGTTCTCCACTTGTTGTTTAACCTTCAAAAAATACTCTGACTTTCTTTAGATTTGGCTTCAAATTTAATTACTGACTGATGCATTAGCTAGAGAACCACTGAAAGTCGTAGAGTGTTGGGGAGAGGTTTCGTCCTAATTTGGGATTCTTCATCGGTATGTATCCATGATCCCACCGGGAATAGAGCCTGGTGCCTTTAGATTACGAGACCATCAGTTGAGGGTAGTGCTATATCATGAATTGACAGGAGTTCTAATTCACAGGCCACTGGATTCTATCCTAGTGGTTAAGTGGTAAGCGAGCTCACTGAGTAACTTAAATGTACTGGGCCCGATCCATGGTGGCGTGATTGGTGAGTACTTATGAAGAGTCCCAAACTAAGACGGAATAGCTACGTAATCATCCATGATTTTCGTTGGTACTCCAGCTAATGTGTCAGGTTGTGAAAAAACTTGAAACCAATCAAAATCCCTACAAACTCACACCTAAAAAAGAAGTAGAGTTTTCATGGGTGAGTTGCAGTCAAAATGAATACCACGAAGAAATACATACATGAATTGGATGCACTAGATGTAACTTCAGAGGATGATAATTAATGATAAGAGTGACAAAATCATGATAACTATTATAATTATAAAAATCGTGTGGTGTAAACACACTGATACTATTGGTGGACGATTATCAAACAATGAAGAATTTCGGGGAAATGGAGTGAAAATTGTTGTGAAAGTACATTAATAAATTTGCAAATATTACGTAAACCTAGGGCAATGAAAGTAATAGGAAAGGTCATGAAATCAATAAAGATCTGAAGTAAAAGTTTGACAATGAAACGGGGTGAGAAAGGGAAAAAATTATCAAAATGTTTATTCGAGATTTGTCGACCTTATTTTAGGCCAAAGTTAACAAGTAGGCTGGAAATACTTCTTCTGGATACCGAGATCAGGTTTTTGGTATTAATTCCTACCGTTTCGGATACTGGTAAAAGATGTAGTCGAGCTCCTACAGATAGATTACCGAGGATACAGTAGATCACTGTGAAAGACTGCTTCGGGTCAACAGAATATTCCCTATCCATTAAGTGGACTAAGACAGTACGATTTATGCATTTGGGTAGATAAAGATCTAAACATACAGAGGTACATGTCCATGCAAGCACACGGATACCTTGAAACTTATACTTCTTTTCTGTTCAATATTTATTCATAAACACATCATTCAAGTATGTAATCTCATTTCATATCTCATGTTAAATCTGATAATCAAAACTCACTGACTATTATTATCATTATTATTCCATCTCATACGCTTGTACTGCATGCAATATACTTTCTGATAATATAATTCTAGTTCGCCTTTACCGCTATTGCTGTGCATGCTAAATATTAATGGAATTATGATTGTAGAGCCTTAAGAAAAAGAATTTATAGAAAACAATAATTATTCACCCTAACTCTCGTTCCAAAATGTTCACAATTGGGAGGAGTATGTTACTTGTTTCTCTGTAATACACGTATGTGTGTATATGTGTAGTCCAGTGCGTTTCTGGTCAATGGGATACATTTTGTACCCATCTGGTAACCTTTGTCCATCACAAGATGAATAATAATAATAATAATGCTGACTTTATTCTGAACTGTACCTTTTATATGGTGTGGAATTCTCAGCAGTACAGTACAACTTTCATCTAACTTTCTCTTTACATTTACACAGTAAGGGAATACTGATTGGGGAAAATTTTCATTAATAATAATGTTAATAAAAGGATAAATGTGAACTTAAGATTGTAAATTAACACAAATAAGGAAAACATTAATTTCAAGTTTTATCACGGTTTGAAACCACTGAGAGACCCACTGGAAACCAGGGAGTACTGGACAGCTTTCTCAGCATTCTTTGGGACACTTCAGTGAACTGATGAAAGTTAGAATTAATAGACTATTGGATTCCGTCCAAGTGTCTGAATGACCAACGAGCTTGCCTGGTAAACTGAAGGTCCCATGTTGGATCTCCGGTGGTGTGATGCCCACACTCATCTGAAGATGAAACAGTTCTCCAGTACCTTCTGGTTTTCAGTTGTTATCTAACCAATATCAATAAGTGATCAAAATGGAAACCAATCAATTATGCTTATTAGATGGAAATCGTCAACAAGCCAGACCTACAATCTTGAAGGAAGTGATGTCCACGTCACTTTGTGTTAAATTCAGACATGCATTCAAATCCCAAAGTGGAGGTCAACTGCATCAAGATTGCATACACACCTTATTGACGACTGCCAAAAGCACTGAATCTTGGTTGAAGGCATCCTGTCGACTCTCTTCAACCATCTAAACTTAGTGCAAAAAAAGTACATCTTAATGTTGGGCCTACTAACCTGGTGACCATACTGCACACCTAACTGCGATACAATTAAATCACCATGAATGCTAAAGACTAGACATCAGTTAAATTTTAGTGACTAATCCATGGAAATATTTGGAAAAGTACCTAGATTAGAGACCTCTTCTTGCATCTATCAAATCAACTGCTCCTTTGAAACCAGTCATTTAAGCTGTTGTTCTAGGAACTTCATTTTTCGTGCTCAGGAACGCCTCCTAGTGTGGCTAAATAAAAGTGTAGTAAATACTATCAACACCTAGTGCATATAGACCTTGTGGTGAGTAGTGAAAAATTCCTTTCTGTCTTTTGTGCTGTACCACGTAAAATGCCGTAGACCTCAAGATACTGAGTACTGCAAACAGCAGAATCCATTGTGTACAAAAGAAAGACGTCCAGCCACTAATGCTACTTTGGCCTTGATAAATTTCGTATTATTTTCTCCTTACTTTATCTGATATTCATTTTAGCGTTGTATTCATTTATATCATCGCATATAAATATCCTTAACTGTAATCTGTTGATTTTATTGATTCAGTTTTATTTTTTAAAAATGTTTATGTTGTCAGCAACAGTTATTCACTTAACTATAGTGAATCCATATCATTGCGCAACCTGATGAAGAAGTTATCGAGAAGAACATTCTGTGGTTCAATAATTCATCTTTTAAGAGTGTCTATAGACTAGCAGTGCATCGATGGTTCAATGGTAGAATAACTGCCAGTTACGCATGTGGTCCGGGTTTGGTTTTTGGCTAATGCAGTCCTACATCCCTCCTAGTTTACCAGCAGATAGCAAACCTACAAATGATAGAAATTTGAATATGAGGCTAGCAACTCAACCGCATAAAAAGGACAATCTTATGGCCACTGAATTTCTTTTTAAAAGATTTGAAGCCCTATATCCCACACTCGGAAGGCAACACCAATAACAAAGCTTATCATTGTGTGTGAATCATTGAAAGATAATTATATTTTATTTGAAAAGAGAATAGACTATGCAATCTAGACATTAACTGTTTCTGACTTCATTTAAGAATAATTAAACGAAATTAAGTGATCAAACTATCTATCCATATTGTAGTTATGTTCTCTAAGCTGGACGATATACTGCGAAGCTTTCATTGCCCTACTAGGCAACATCTTTAGCACATACTGACTAACACAACTACATTAAAATCTTCCACTTGAGCTACAAATCTTCTCCATTATATCTATCTGTCTATATTTGTGATTTCCTGTTGGTCACCAAGTCAATGTTACTTGATTTGGTCGTGACTAGCTGCAGAATCCAGGTGTATTTCGGACTTGTCATCTGGACGTGGCTGCATCCCAAGTGACTGATGCTGTTCCAAAGGACAGTTAATAAAGATAGTAATACCAAAGCATACACACCAAAACAGTCTATATGCCACAATAAGGTTGATCATTTTCGATCAGATATATCTAGTGGAGATCCGAAAAGATTTAAACAAATAATTTCAAGTCGTTCTGACTGAAAACTAGGTGATTACGATAGCTGAGTGGTTTAAGTGATAACATACTGACACTTAAAATGATGGGTGCAGATTCTGAGTCGCAGCTGTGAACACTCACTCACTCGCTCATTTGCACGGGATGAGGATACATTTGGTTGATGAGTCCCAAATATAACGAAATATGTGTCTTGCATTCCACTGCCAGCCACCATATGAAACGGATAAAACAAATGTCCAGTATCTGTCTATTTCACTGTTTCAATTCGATTATGATGTGAGAGAGAAAATTTAAATCTGGTACAGTCATTGTTGATAAATTAAAAAAAAACCCAACCACATGTTGAATTCATTTAATAAAATGTACCTATCTGTTTCTTTATTTCTTATCTGATCTGTAATCGTGTTAACTGTGATTGCTGTCCATCCTGTCCATAAAATTTATCTTCGTTGTATTTTTCAATTGATGATAACATTTTATATCAAAATATTAATTTTATCCTGTAACAAAACTCATGAATAATAATACTAATAATAAAATAGTTAAGATTTCAAATGCATATTTACATAATTGATAGTGGCTAGCTGCAGTGGGATCTATGATGCACTAGTTTCGTCCAGTTTTAAGATTCATCATCATCATCATCTCTTTTCTCAGTGAGACTCAAAGTAACAGTCAAGTGGATAAAAAAATACCTGTATATATATATATATATATATATATATATATATATATATATATATAGTGCCCTCGGAGCTGGTTGATTTAATTCCGAAGCTTTCGTTGTCCTTCTGGACAACATCTTGAGTTTAAGCTTTAGTGTGAAGTGGGCTTATTTAAATTCTCCACGAATGATAAATTTGTATCGCCTGACAACTTTTTCGTAGCTGGTTGATAATTCGCATCAGTATTGAGGTTACAAATACGTCTTGCTGACTAGTGAGCGCCGACCAGTTCGAAACCTGGGTCCAAGGCTTCCTGCCGATTGTCTCCAACTATCTAACATGGGTTTGTATTTCCAAAGACTCCCAAATTACAATGAGGCAGTTATCCAGTGCTTTATGGTTATCAGTGGTTTTCTAATCTGCAGCAAAATTAATCCGGATCCCGCTAAAATCGAAAATCCAGACAATAATCATCATCTTTTTCCTAACAGTGGTGTTTTGTAGTCTGAAATTTTCAGTCTTTTCTTATTACATCAGATTTGTTCCATTTTTACAGACTAAAGAAGAAACCATTAAATACATACGTTTATGCTAACTAATTCATTTTGAGACCTGGTGAGCCATGTGAGGAGTTTCTAACAGGCTACTTTAAACTCTCATCAACAATTGCCTTCACATCATATTCAAGAACAGATGGCCGACCAGAAAAGATGAGTTATAAGGAACTCTGGCAAATGGGTAATTGACTAGAAGGTATCACCCAACGAATATACGGGAAGAAATGAAGATGGATCAAACGTACACTGAGGAGATCGTTAAATGAAATCTTGCGTCAGGCAGACACTCGAGTAGAGCCTGAAGACGAAGCGAACGACGAGTTGGGGGAGGGGAATCTGAGGGTGACATGGAAGAGACCATGTGAAGGGAAAATGAAAGCTCATGGGCTATCATGAGGCCAACTAGAAAGGGATACAGAGAACAGAGTGAAATGACGTTGTGCTGTTGAAGCCCGATGTTCCACTTGAAATACAAGGAATAATAATAAAATAATCAGTACACTTAAGGATATATATTGCATCCATGTCTGTATACTTCTCCATTCCCCATCTCCTTTTATTAGATACTATCCTTAGAAATTAGGGGGGGGACTCCAAAACCAGTGGGTTGAAATGCTTGTACGGTTACTCCAGTTGAAATAATGCGATCTACGGACAATTTCGAGTAATTCAAATAAAGAATACAAAAGGAGTAATTCGAAGTATTATCTAGTTGATGGAAGAGGTAGGGTACTTCATTATTATTATTATTTTGTTCCATTCTGATTGGAACATTGGACTTCAGTGGCACATTTGCATTTCACTCTGTTCTCTTTCGTCGTTTTTATCTGTCTCCACGATTGACCATAAGCTTTTATTTTCCCCTAATACAATTTCCACCATGTCGCCCACGGACACTCAACTCGTCACTTCTCACTGCGTCGGTGGCACATTGGTTATGACTCTCGCCGACCATGCATATGGTCCGAGGTTCGAATCCCTGCCGACGAACACCTGATATCTATGGTCGGCCTGCAAAATTTGGGCTACCAATATCCATGTTGAAAATTCCATACTTGTACCAAAAATACAGTGTGGAATCAAGCTGTAATCAAAAAAAATTCGAGGGTTTACCTGATACTTGGTTTTACTCAGTGGACTCTTTGGTGTTTGACCAGCACATCTTCAACCTAAGACAAATGCTACTAGTCCCAAAAGCACATATATGAGGAACTACTATTCCTTGAGATACATCGTCGTGTTTTCCTCTGTTTAAATCATTTTAATTATCGATATAAAGTTTTAGTAGACACTGATTCAAAGAAGAAACTAGGACATTTTTGGAACCCAAAGCAACATTTTTCTGCTTGTGGTTTTTGATGGCTTTCTGTTTGCTTTTTATCATACTCTTTAAATAAGCGTTTCATTTGTACTATCATTTAGATCAAAATCAACTGGAATCTAATTTGAATCAATGTTCAACAGTGTTTAAATCTAGCGGCAAATCAACAACCAAGTCAAATGAATCATTTAAACCGCCATGTTCAAATTTTAAAAATTCTTACAAAACTGACAACACTTTAAATCATAATAATAATCAAAATAGTACGACAAATTTATTGAAATCGTCTGCATCTGAAGAATTACAAACTCAAAGATTTTTGGCTAATGTTCGTGAGAGACAACGCACACAATCATTGAATCAAGCCTTTGCCGAATTACGTCGAATTATTCCAACACTACCGTCAGATAAACTTAGTAAAATACAAACATTAAAATTGGCTACTCGGTAAGAAACTTTCTTTCGTTCATTGAATTATTTACGATATTTAATTTTTTTCTTAGAGGAAAACATACATGAGATAAGTATGGAAGCAGAAATATGAGCTAGATAATGTTTACCGAAACTATAGCAACGGCAGCCTTGAGCTTCTAACCTTGAGCACTCAACCAATAGGGAAGCCACTTTTACTGACTTCAAAATATAATTAACAAAAATGAAGGAAATCAAAGTATGATATTACTTGTACAATAATATATAAATTTGTTCAAAAACCGTTCAACAGGCCAATGTTACTCTTTTTAATTATTGGGCTGTAGAAGTTCGACTGACTTCGAGGTAGATTACATCGTGAACTGAAATTAGTTATAGAACCACTGAAAACCACAGTATTGATCTGCTGCTATATCCTAGTTCAGAACCCATGACCGCATCAGTGATAGAACTCAGGACCTTTTAGTTACAAGTCAAATATATTAACCATTCAGTCATCAGACTGGAGTGTAATATATCATGAATTCTAACTTTTGTCAATTACTGATATAACCTCGCCAATGTCCATTATGATCGACGAGTAATTGTCCACATACCCAACACGAGTATCGGTTGAGTAGTCAATCCTGTTGCTAGTCTCTGGTAAGCTGTGGATTAGTTTTAAGGTGTTGGATTAATTTCAAGACAGATTTCGTCAAAAGACAACAGAATTAAGAAACTACTGTAGATTTAAACCCAGTGCTGGCTTAAAAAGTTTAAAGTCCTTATTTCAATTTTTGACACGGTTATGGTTAGGCATTGTTGAAGAGTTTTCTACTAGAGGGAAACAGATTGCTGCTTCTCGTTTTTCGCTAATCATCTTTCAGCCAGTGTAGATTCAGAGGGAAATCCGTCCTGAATAAATAAAAGTACTTAGTTGTCCTCTTGCATATTCTTTAAATGATGACTGCATTCATCAAAGCGGATATCTTCAGCATGTAATATTTGATGGTGTAGTCATCAGCTGTGATCAATGAGATCCTAAATTTGGTCCTACAATAATTTATAGGCGGGAGGTTCTAAATAATTTAAAGCAATTAGTTATCTTTGTGAATTTCAGCAAAACAATATGAAGACGTAATTTATTTGAAACGTGTAGTGTATTTTCGCAACATATTTCAGACATTCTTATGACACACGTACACACACACACACCTACTTTTTATATAAAAGGCAACGTAGCATAAATTGTCTTAATTTTTATCAGTGTGGGTTAAAGTGTTAACGGATTATGATCACAAATGAGAGATAGGAAAATGAAATGAGAATTGGATGGGGTGAAAATATTATCAAGTAAGATGAACTTGACTTTGTTCAAAGTACTGGCAAATAATTTTGAATATACATGAAACAGGTTTACATCTTTTTATGCCTATGACTTTAAATAATTTTAGTGTATGACCCGACCTAAACGTGTTTTACTTATGTGGGTTAAAAATCTCATAGGAAATAAACTTTATCGCTTGTCTTTATGATGCGCTTTGAGGCAGATGACGTTGGACACCTATTTCCGAGATTAATTGAATTAGGTGATTTTATTTTCTCCCGAAGTCATTTAGGGATGTGTCTGTGACCTCGATCTGCAGAGATCCTTCATATGTAATGTGACCATATATACGTGTAAAATGGTAAATACATTGGGGTTTGACATCACCGTTCCGATGATGTGAGGTCTTACAGGACGACGTACATCTCGTTCCCCTTTGAACACGAGTTCAGCTGCTTAATCAGTTCTTTTGAGTGCCTCTGTGAATCTTCGTTTAGTGGTCAGAGTTTCAAATAAACTTGAAATGACTATTCTTCCATTTTCTGGTTCTATCAAGGTCGGTTACAAGCGACCCCACTGATAGTGTCAGTATTCTGTGTTGGTATTTTTCGGTACATTTCAACTACCCGTTTAAATAAGCAGTACACTATTATCATGCATTCCTTTTGTTCCAAGTGAAACATAATCTCATCGGTACATCTCTATTGCAATCATTTCTCTGCCACAATTTTCGACTCAGAAATGACTGGACAAGGGCTTTGAAGACAAGATGTGTCCTTATATATATACATATCTTTGTTATCATCTAGATTATTTCCTTGAAGGCTGGAACAGTTTTCCGAACAAAATACTGGAATTATTTATTTCAGTTTCTCCGGAATTTGAAGAAATATAACTTTCACATATATTTTTATAACTTCCCACTTGCTTTAATTTCCTCTTTAGATGATTTTCTCCACATCGCCATTAGACTAATGACAAACTCACCGCCTCCTGTTTTGTCTCCACTCGACGGCCTGATTTGTAATGTCACTTGAGTGTTACTTTAGAATATGTCCAATCTGTCTGCATTTATTTCTATATGTCTCCTGTGCATCGGTGGCACAGTGGTAAGGACTCTCACCAACCATGCACATGGTCCGAGGTTTGATCCCCTGCCGACGAACACCTGATATCTATGGTTGGCCTGCAAAATTTGGGCTACCGATATCTATGCTGGAAATTCCATACTTGTACCAAAAATACAGTGTAGAACCAAGCTGTAATCAAATATATAAAATATAAATATAACAGGCTCTTGGCTCAAGTTTCCGTATCGATGAGAAGTGTGTGTGTTTTCTTCAACGGGCTGTGGTTACTAGCCCCTGACCCAGTCTTCTCTCTTTTCCATTCTTAGGATAAGTTGATCAATTAGGCAAGGTTATTTAGTAGTATATATCATCATACCAGAGTTATCTTTTAAAGGGAATAACTTTTATATTTATTTATTGTTATTATCTTTGATCATATAGATATATCGATTTCTTATCCCAAGTTCTTCAGGCAGCTTCATCGTCATTACCACAGCCAACCCCGCCGACACCGCAACCTTCGGCAGCATCATCATCGAATAATTTTATTGTAGATTTATCTACAGAAACTTATACAATCAATGATAATAATAATAATAAGTATTTATGTACAGATTGTAAAATTGTCAAAACTGATCCACCTGTCTGTCCTCAATCAACACCACAATTACAATTATCACATGTGACAACATTTCAAAAATGTGATGTGCCTTACAATCCAGTTGAAAAACTGAAAAAACTGGGACCAAATAATGAGTATAGTCTGATGAGTGAAGATAAATTTTATAATAACAATAGATACGTTGATAATGAAGACTTTGTCTATGATAATGATAATAACGACGATATTAACAAACAGTATTCTAGAGTGTGTTCTTCGAAAGCAAAAAGTTATCGAAAGTGGAGATTCACCTACAACAATTTTACTCAACCTCCATTTTCATCAGCATCATCAGCGTCTTCTTCTTGTTCACCTCCGTCATTATCATCGTCTTCTTCTCCATCAGCCCCATCAGAGTCACCTGCGTCCATATATTGTGTCGAAAATAACAATAACAAAGAACATTTGTTGAGTGAAATGAAGAGATACAAAGAGGCGTCGTCACCGTTCTCGTCATCATCATTCTCACCGAAATCAATATCCGTCAGCTTCTCAGCCTCCTCCGCGTCCACATTATCGACAACTGCACTGCCGCTACCATCAACATTAGCACCAACACTACCAACACCAACGTCAGAACTCGTGCCACATTCACATCATAAAAATCAAGGATTAAGTTACGCCTTTTCAGTATGGCGTATGGAAGGTGCATGGTTATCAACATCTACTAATGATGATGATATAATAATAGGAAATTGACTGTTTCAATCTTTTATTTATCCATTATAGTTATTCTACTTATGAGTAGTACTCTTAGTAGAAATAAAAATACATTCTTAAATTTATTCATGTGGATTGACCAAACATTTTTCACATTTTGTTAGTTTTATGATACAGCAAAAATAAAAACGGAAAGTTGTAAAAGAAACTAACTATCTGCTGCTAATATATATCTCTTCTTGTGAGTTACAGAGTTCGGTGGTTGAGAGGTAGACTGTTCGCCAGACACATACATGGTGAAAGTTACATTTCCGGACGACGCATTATCAAACATCACTCAGTTTACTGGTCCCTAGTAAACTCAGAAAAGAAGGGGAAGATGAGTGTAAGGCTAGCATTCCTGCCCCATGAAGGTGACAATATCACTGTTCCTGGAACGTTTGGAACTTGAAGCCCATTGTTCCACTCAGAGCAAAAGGGAATGAAGGAGAAAAAAAATCTGAAAATAAATGTAAACTACACAATGATTTATAAAATCCAGTTATATATTTTGTAGGAATGAAATCTAGAAATTCCATGACGTCTAAATTTTGATCTAACCAGGGAGGTGTTTAGCAGCATTCTCCAGTAAATATGATTGGAGGGGGGAGGGGAGGATACTCAAGTCTACCACTTATTCTTTGAGACGTTGAAGCTTTTGTTTTTAATTATTGGCCATTTTCAGGCAAGTGAATTCTAAAAGAACAATAGGGAGATGTCTATTGATGAAGATCAACAGGAAATTAGAATTATAAAAAAGCGAAGGTGTTATGCACTTTGGAAAAGAGATGACAATAACATTTCAACGTTCAGGGAAGTAGGACCTTAATGTTAAAAACATTGAACGGTTGGTTTGAATTTAAATGGGAAAACTATCAAAGGTGTGTATTTTAGTCATATATATCTACAGAGACCGAGTCTTCAGTAGATTCCTGAGAGGATCACTGCCAAATGAAAGCTATAAACCACAGCTTAATTTATAGCAGAATATAAGTGATGCCTTCAGGACGATTTGGATAATCCTCTCTGCAATTAGAATGTCGAGTCAAGCAGCTATATATGTCAACTAGAAGTTGGACAATTTCACCTCAAGAATTTATTTACAAATAGATCTTCTTTCGATTTTACAGCAGTCTGGGAATATTTCTTATTTCTATAGGCCAATGGCAGGACGATATAAGTAGTCAGATTACACTCAAAACAACTGGCAGAGTTTGTTAGCCAGATTGAGATGATATAAACACCAAACGGCTGTTTCTCTGGTCTGAGACTGAGTTCATCAGTGGTGTAGATGGTTTGACGCAGCTCAGGGAAATGAATCAGTGATTTGACTTTCGTTTACTATTTACAGTAGGAGACAGTTGATATATTTGACTATCCTACCCAACGCATAAAATTTTAAGCTGTGATGCAATTTTAGTGGAATTCAGTATCATTTAGAAAGTATGAAGATTAAATAACGGTTAAGATTCATTTAGGATGATTAAAACTATTCGCAATATATTTGATTACTTTTGAATAGTGAGTAGGTGCTGTACCAGTTTATTCTGTAGTCCACTGTAAACAAAACAACTCCTCACAAAATGGCACTACTACAGTTTTCAAGTGTTGGTTTCAAGTTAGATTATGGACTGAAACAGGTTAGAGATCCATTGAAAGTCAGGAAGTACTTGATGGCTATCATGTTCTGATCCGGGAATCTTCAACAGTACGCACTGATAACACCACTTAGGACTGAACCTAGGATCTTCGGGCTCCAAGGTGATCGTAATGCTCATTCAACCAATGGGAAAGGGAATGCAGTGACTCATAGATTCTAATTTCTGACATCAGTGTAAATATGAAACTAATCAAATCCATGTAAATCAACACCTGAAAATTAATCTGATGCTCACTAATGACTGCCAATAGGATGAGGTTACTTGAAGTCCTAGTGTGAAGCCATCAAGTTGTGTGTGAAAAAGAATATTCTTCGATGACATTGACTGGCGGTAGCGTTATATTTTATAAACTGATAGAAACCAGAATTCATGAGTTCTTGGATTTCGTCCAAGTAGTTGAAGCCCAAACACGCCTCGTTTTAACCCGAAGGTCGTGGGTTTGATCCCTAATGGAAGAGGTACTGGGTGAGTACTGATGGAGATCCCAAAACAAAAACGAAACAGCTTTCCAGCACTTGGTGGTTTTCAGTGTTTCTTTAACTGATCTCAATCAATGCTACGGTTACCTTAACATCAACAATCTATCAGACAATGATTACAAGTAAGATATATTGAGGTTAGTCATAGATTAAAAGTGGAGATATCTAAATTAAAAAAAAGTTTTTTACTTGATTTCTAGAATTATGTTATTTCTTGTTATATACGTCTAGAGCAGGTTGAATTTTATCAGTTTGAGAGAATTTGTGCATTGAGGTATATGATATTCATTATTTTTCCAAAGATTCCGTATTTTCCACTGAATGAAAGACAAGACAGTATTGTTCTTACCGATGTCTCTCTATTTCACGCTGCTAATAACTTTATCAAAGTATTATTCAACCAGAATTCAAAGGTTGTCGGCTTATGCATAGCAACTCAATCATCGTTCTTCAGTATGAGTTAATTTTTATGTTATCAAGTTGGTCAATTAGTTAAGATCTGAAAGGTTGATTGAGTTGCTGTATATAAGGTTGGCTTCTATTAATTCTGGTTTAATAACACTTCCATAATACTATTTTCATTAAATAGCAAAACGTCAATCAAAACAGTATCGTTTTGGCTTTCTTTCTTAGGGAAATAAAAAAGCGTTATAACTTGTTTGTTTTGTGGCATATTCTGAGCTACTTACTTGTTCGTTAGTAGTCAAAAGCATTTCAAAAAATATTAACGATGTTTTCAAAAATGCACACAATTATATGTGCAGTTTATGCATGCATTCGACAGTCATGACGAAACTTTTTAAATTTTCATTTCATTCAGTAAAATGCATATATATATATGTATATATATAAATTTTGCTATGAAAGCAATGGCTTTAGAGTGCAGACAGTTGTGAATTTACTCGTTTTGACATCAAGCCGGTCACTCCGCTATTTGATATTTTCGTGCCAATGAATGTCTCTTCACATACTTCTGATAAATCTTGTAAATAGCACACACCACACTAATACATCTGTATACACTAAAAATTGATCAGATGTCGTTTGGACCGATTTTCATGTTACTTTGGCTGGAAAAGAATGATTTACCTGTTGAAATTTGATGTGCATACCTGCGTCAGATAGATAACATGAAGGTTTCCTGTCAGTATATAAGGACTGCCTTGGTGGCACAGCGGTAGAATGCTCGCCGACCACTCATGCAGTCCAGGGTTTGATCCCCGGCCGACGCACTCCCAAACCTCGCTAAGCTAATAATAAGACTGGTAAAGAGGGGAGGTTGGGCATGAGGTTAGCGGCCCCATCCCGTAAAAATAAATGCCACTGCTACCGAAACTTCAAGCCTTTAACTTAAAGCCCTTTGTTCCACTGGAAACATAAAGAAATAAAAAGAAAGAAAAATATAATGACTAACTCATTCATACTGTTGTAGACAAACATTTCAGCTCATGCAAGAAATTAAGCAAACACCACTTGGCCGAACTCTAGGCACTCTCCTAATTCACAATTCTCACCTTCCATCTCACCGGGTGGGAATAGAAATAATCATAAGAGACTTTATGCCTGGAAGGTTAAGTGCAAAGATGTAAAGATGCCTTATTTGGTAGGCATTTTATGTGATGGAATAAGAATCTGACAGTTTCAAACTGCTAACTCACTGCAAAACAGTCAATGAAGGGGCTCTTTTTGTTCTTCCTTTCGTATTGATTTATTATTGAGATTATTGCTATTACTTATAATTTTAAATTTACATTTATATTTTTATAGATAATGCCATTTAACCTGAAATTCCTACTGACTGATGCTTATTCTTAAATTTGAAAACAGACAGAGGAAACATTGGAGGTAGAATAACATGCATCCATTGTATTTCTTTACTTGCCTTCAACCGTGTACAGCCTGTAGCATTTAATTAAACCCGTTATTCCATTTCAATTTGTTTGTTAGATATATCACACAGTAAAACAGTATTATTTGCTGAATGGAAAAGTTTAGAACACAATTTGTTGTTCGTAAACGTACCAATTATGATACGATATAGTTGATATGTTTATGAACAACAAAATGTCTTCGAAACTTAGTCATTTAGTAGATAATACTGTTTTATTGTGTGATATTTATCAAATAGGCAGATTAATACGGAATCACATGCCACTACAGTGTCTACGTTTTACACATATATCAGTTAAACAAGTCATAAATACAGTTTTAACATTATTTCGTTAATCAGCAGAAATCTGTCCTTCAGTTATGAATCAGGATGATGAACTATCGGGAAGTATCACTCTTATATATATATATATATATATATATAGACCTTGGAAACGCACTAATTCAGTGATGCATTAAAAGTAATAACAGCCAATAGGAATCCAGCAATCCAAACACAGGGAAAAACGAAGGGCTCACGCCAGTGCACGATAACTTCTTAAAGTAGTTATTTTGAGATTTTAGGGGAATTTAAGCAAAACTAGGTGTATATAACAGTGAGTTGGTAACGGTTGCATAATCGGATATTGGTAGAACGGAAAGAACTTTTTGAACACCCTTTGAACGCATATCAAAGAGACTTCGATTAAACAGGCTGAATATTTTAAACACTTTAACAACTAAAAACTCGATAGACGAATCAGAAGCATTCAAAAATGATTAACAGACTAAACACCCCAAGTTTTCATCGATTTTCCTAGGCTATAGAAATAAAATGGAGGAAATCTGACCTATGTATCTTAAAGGAGTTCATCGCTTCACTTCATTTTATCCAACTTAGTAACTACTTGTTTTCAGACTTCATCCAAGTGTTTTTCACTATCTCCTTTCTGGGCTGATTTGTATATCTGACTTAACTTTGGATCCTTTG